GTTGTTTCTAAATCATACTAGTACGATTAAGTAACGTATAAATTTTGGTTGTTATGGGATATTTTACTCCTCTCGAAACAATCTGTTTATACGTTGCTTCAAAATTATATCATTACAACAAAGGAACGTATAATTTAAACTCGAAACAATCTGTTCATACGCTGTCTCAAAATTATATCATTACGATTAAGGAACGTATTATTTAAACTCGAAACAATCTGTTCATACGCTGTTTCTAAATCACACTAAGTACTATTAAGGTCCGTATAAATTTAAATGCATTTTGGTGGTAATGGATACTTTACCCCTTTCGAAAACAAGCTACAAATAAAACTGTTTAAATATCTGTATTTTTTCGGATAACTTATAGCCCTGGTAACAGTTAGGTAACTATTGAACTTAAAATTTGATACCATTAGTGTGAACTCTCATCCCTCAAACCTGCGGAAAATACTATCTCTAACTCATCCTATTGTTAACTCTCTCCCTATTACGTGAGGATTACGCAACCAAGGTGAATATCTTTCCACCCCTTTTATCTCTCCCCTGTTCGAAAATTCTATTCTTTGATAAAAAGCGCAAATAAAACAGAAATACATCCCAGTGCCTCAACGAGAAATGTTTAAGCAGGAAGAAGTAAAAAGTTTTTTTTTCTTTCTAAATTTTTAATCCACCTTTTAAAAAACTAGAAGGGGTGCAAGAGTTGGATTCAAAGGGGACTCGTTTGTCAAATTTTGTGCGATCCAGTTCAAGTATCGTTAAATCCGGTTCAACGTAAAGAAAAAATGTAGATCTGTGTTAGGAAAAAAAGAACCCGCCTGTGATATTTAAAAAGTGCAGTTGAATGAAAATGGCTGAAACCTGATTCGTATAAAATCTGGAATTAGTATCCAAGGCTAAATAAAAAAGATAGAATGCGATAAAATATCGGGAATAGTTCTTTTACAAGTTGAGATCTTGTCTGTGAGGGGAAATATAGAAGCATATATTCGCTTGGGTGTTAACCCTTTATAGTGATGGAGGGGGAATTCTCAAAATTGAACAATAATGTTTATAAAAAAAAAACAGTTGATTATTATTTTTTATTTATTTATCAGTCTTGATTATCACTTTTCAGATTTCTTGATTGTTTTGTCCATGGATCTTTGGCATAATTTGAAGTGCAAAAATTCTGGCAGTGATGAAGAAAACAGGATGAAACCCTTTAAAGTAGCTAAAAAAAGTTTCACCCTCATAGCAAGGATTGCTTATGCTTTGGCTTCATGAGTACAAGTTCAGCCGATGAACAACTACCACAATGAGACGAAGTTTTGACAAACGAAGCCATGAAGCCGTAAAAACTACAGAGACGTTTTATTTCTAAACAGGAAGAATTTTCGGAAAAAAAGTACTGTTTTCTTCAAAATAAAAGAATAACATCTTTTGAGTTGCATGAACATGGAAAAAAAAATCAAACGGAGTACAGCAGCAACATTTTTGTGAAAAGATAATTTGAAAATTTTCAGCTCATTGAAAAAACTGGAATACCTCATACTATAGGTGAGGACCTGCAACAAATGGGATAGTTTCTTTTCTATAAATGACTGTGATTGATGAAAGATCCGTTAACTCCTCTGTCAAATGACAATGCGGAAAAAAATAATTCATAATATATCAGGAAATATAAACAGAAAATTGTTCACCTTAATATTTATTACAGCTTGATGAAAGCACAAATATTGCAAATAAATCGGTATTGCTGTGTTTCATCAGGTATTTGCATTACAAAGGTATGGTGAAGACTTATTACCCATTTCTAGTTCATTCGACGTCTGAATAGATGATCAACGAGTCTATGTTAAATTATAATATAATTGATTTATGTTGAATGAATGGCTAAGTAAAATGTTAAATGTATTTAAGACTCTTCACAATGTAGATTGGAGGAAATGTATTGACATGGAGCTTGATCAACGAATGGACACATTTCCAAATTGCGAGCTCGAATTAAAGCTAATTCGCCCTCGGCTACATAAAATCATTGCTGCTTACATTGAGAAGTCCTGATTCCTACAAAGTTAAAGAAAATCTAAAACCGATCCTAATGGATCATTCTCACTGCTTGTAATTGTCTCGCTTCTGTGATTGACAGGCTGAATTGTCTCGCTACGAATGTTTCTCACTGAGTAGAAATTTCATCTCAGTGATCGTCTGAATTCATTTTTGTGGCAACTTAAACTAACATACCTGACCAGACATTTCTGGTCGCTTAAATATGGTGAATCTTAGTCTTCAAGGAGCACAAGGTAATATTTTTAAAGATGAAGAGAAATTCGAAGCGATTATTAAAAAGTTGGAATTGTTGCATCATCGTTTCATTTTGATTAGAGATTATAATATTGAAACATTTCCCAATTTAAAAAATTTCCTCTATTCTAATTAGGAGCAGATCACTGACGAAGACAACACCCTCATTGCACAATATTTACTAAATTTAAGGGAAGGTTTCAGCAAAAATTCTCGTGTCTCCGAAAGAAAAAAATAACTGGATTAGAAACAGTGAACAGGATGATCTCACACCAATGGAACATCTGATAGAAATTTCTACAGATGGGGCTTTACTATTCTGAATTACAAGCTGTCCACCCCTTTTTACTTTCTTTCGGGTAAAAAAGAGTCATATATGTATGGTTTAACTGTTAAGAAATCGTAGTTGTTATGAATATTTTACTCTCCCCTAAAACGAGCTTGAATGATTAAATGAAGTGATTTTCTTAGCAGTTTTTGCTTTTTTTTTTCCATCTTGATATATCGAAACTTTCAGTCCTGCTGCTTGCACTTCAAGATTATTATCAAGCTCATGACGGCATTGCAGTTGTTGTAGGTATCTGAATCGTTACTTTTATTTTTATCATATTAGGTCTACTGGAAGATTTTGTCTGAGGCCATCCTTTTGCAATGAAGCAAAACATACCTGTATATAATAAAAAACGTGGTAGGTGATTTTCCCCTAAATTTATGTATCATATATGTCGGTTTGACATCTGTGACACTGCATGTTTATTTAAAACATGGTTGCCACGGGCGACTAAATTCATTTGTAATGGTATTTAAAATTCTTTTAATTAAATTTTTAAATTGAAGTAATAAAAGTATAATCAGAAGTATTTCTGTAACTTTAAATGTAAGAATAAAATCGTTCGGAAAATCTGGAGGAAATGGCATTTATATAATTAACTAATTTAAAGAGAAAGGACAAATGAGAAAGGACTTCCAATATGCAATTAAAACTAAAACGTTAGCTATACCTGTCTTTGATCAAACCAATCTTAAGATATGCATCCCCTGTCTGGGATAATATATCTCCAACTCAAATTAACAAGCTCAATATATGCCAAAATAAAATCTTACGTAAACTCACCAAGGCTCAATGGTTTACATCCGTTACAAAGAAATTCACAAAAACCCCAAAGTCGATCTTATCGACTAATATATTGCCAAATTGAATTCTAAGTTTATTGTTAAGGCATCTGAGTGTGAAGCGGCCAAATTAAAAGAAATTTTTCTTGTTGAAAATCTGAGTGAGACGTCTCAGTAAGACCCATTGCAGCAGTGGCACCTCCTAATCTAAATACCAAAATTTGAAAATAACTGATCCTATCGATCAATGTACTGCCAAATTTAATTCTAACTTTTTTGTTAAGGCATCCAAGTGTGAGTGAAATTCCCTCGAATACTTCTCTGCCACGTAGGGAGTGGTAGGAAGAAAGTGATCAATTTATAACGTGAAACGTTAAGGTTTTATGTTTTGTCGCCTTAAATGTTATTTTCAAAGGAGCAGTTTATGTAAACACCTATTCGTTGTTAAAAAAAACTTGTACATTCAGACAAAAAATAAACTGAACGAAAAAATTATTAAAAAATGAATAAAAAAATTGAGATCGTCCATTGGCAAAATGGTTGCTGTCTACTTTTTTTACCCTCTTTGTTCGTGATATTCACCTAAATCAGTATTTAAAACGATCCAGTTTGAATCATAGGTTAGAATTTCAGATTCTTAAATCAAACAAAGAAAACACAAATCTCGTTCAAATGATGAAATTCTCAATTATTCACAGCTCAAGCATTATTTATGGGATCTCTCTGGTCCCATATCTTAAAAATAAACTTTTTGTCGAAAACAATGTTTTTATTTAAAATCGCTCTTTCGTGGTGTTTTATTTAAAAACACCTTTAAAAAATGGCGCCCATTTTCAGGCCTTGTCAGACCTTGCAAGATTTTAGCGCTCTTGAAACATATCGACTGTCATTTCCTTTTTACACATTTTTTGAATCTAATGAAGTTGTTAATCAAGTGATATCTTACCGCTTTAGTTTTTAAAGATTATTTATTTTATTAAATATCAAAATATTTATTAAACGCACATGGCTTAACACTACAAAGCCCCTATTGCTCTTTTTATGAATATCTAACTAAGCCTTGTGGAATTACAGTTATTAAAGGCCACCATTTAATACTATTAATTAATAAAGGGTTATGCGTGCTCTCAACATTTCTAAACAGGTTTTTAGCGTTAACGAGCTAAGATTCTTACAACTGAAACTCAATCACAGCAGGTGGTGCAGCAGCGCCTATTAAAAATCCTTTAACCAAATGACATCATAATCATTCCCATCAACTTCAACGGAATTCGGATTCGTGGGAAAAATAATCCTTCATTAAGAATATTCGAATAAAAAAAAGAGAAAAAATCTGAAAGAAAAAAGGGAAGGAACAAATCATTCCTCCATCCTCCCACGCTACTCTAAACAAAACCTGGAATCATAAAAGAAAATATAATAATAACAATTAGAAATTAAAAGAATCGCGACAAAATTTTGCTTCACTGACTACGTTACTCAGTCCTCACGCAAATTTTTTTTTAAAAAAAGTAGGAAATGTCTCTTCTGGGCTTCTGCACCCCTGATTTTTTGGAGGAAAAGGGGGTAAGTATATACCCCCCACGGTAGGTGGAGCACGCGAGCGATCCCAGTCATAGGCTATTGGACCTTGTGCCCTAGAAGGGGCCGAATACATCCCCCCGAGACTTTATATAAAGCGTTTCTTTTGCGGGACGTTCGCTACTATCAGTTTTATACTTAGAGCATCAACGTAACGCGTGTTATCACAGACGATCCACACCCAAAGAGTGTTCGTTATTGTAAGGATCTTTCTTCTAGTTTCGGTTTAAAGACCCCGCGTGGAATTTTTTGGAGTTTCCAGAATGAAATTTTGAGTTTTTGTGAATATAAAATGGACAACACTTTTCTTCGTAACTCGTTAAAGGACTGTTTGTGAAAGGTAAGGAATTGCTCCTTTAAATAATATTTAATGAATTTATGTTAATATTTTTATTTTTGAAACTTGATTTTAGTTTGTAAAGTTTTGGGGTGCTTTTGAAATTATTTTAGTTTAAAGTTAACCGAATTTCTTTCAGTGTGGGAAATAAAATTTATTTAGATATTAGATTTAAGAACGGAACTTTATAAAAAGATTTTGATTTTGTTACTTTTTCCTTCATAAAATCACAAAAAGAAAAAAAAAATTTAAATTATTTTTATTTTTTAAATCTCTCATCATGTTATCGCTTATGTGATAAAAAAGAAGAAAAAAAACTGTTTTTTATACCCAAACTAAATTTTTAAGATGTCTCATATTTCTTAAAAAAAATTTTCTTTGGTTAATTTTTTGTATTTCAGACCATAAAATGATACTTTGTGTAAAAGCTTTGAAATCAAACAACTTAATTATAATACAATATTATTACTTTTATTTGATTTACTTCATTGGATACCTCTGCCTTCCGTCTACCTGTATTTTTAAACAAAAAAATTTCAATTCAAAATAATCAACTAATTACTTTTTCGTTGTTTTCATCTATCATATGTCCTTAATGCCAAAATTGTTAACCTTTCTAACTTAAGACCATAAGCGTTTACATTAATCGACAATTTAATTTTAATAATATTTTATCTGATAATTTTCATTTTTTTAATAAAACACCCCTGTTTATGGCCTACTTGTATTCTTAGTAAAAAAGAAACATACAGATATACAGTTAAAGCACAAAACGTACTGCTTGTAAAAAAAAATATAATTTTTCTCACTGAAATGCTTTTAGGTACGTTATCACTTAGTTATTTTTGGTTAATATATTAATCTCAGTCAGAAATGTTTCATTTAAAAAGAAATTGTTTTTAAATCAATTTACTTGAATTTCAAAAGTATTTTTATTTTTAGAGACATTAGCATAGAATTTTTTCTTCATTACTTTTAATGAAAAATCTTATATTTTAATGCATTCATCAAAAAATGTGTTTTTATATTTTCTTATTCAAAAGTCTGTAACTGAAATATTGAGTGTAACTGAAATATGTTTTTACAACGTTTACAAAAATTTATTTAATGTGTTGTTTCCTAAATTACACGGAATTGTTTTTTCCTTTTTTTTTTTACATTTTTACAAATTTTACTTGATCTTACCTAACTCGGATGTGGGACTTTCAAATCTGCAATTAATCTTGTTCTGAAAATTATAGATTTTTTCTAAAGCGATAATTTTTTTTTTTAAAATTTTTTGACCATGTGTACAAGTTTATAAAGAACGCATATAGTATACATACATATACACTTGTCTGCTCCTTTAAAAATAACCCTTAAGGTAAAAGAAAAAACAAATTACTTTAGCGTATCGCATTATGAATTCAAATATATTTTCGCCTTTTACTACAACTACCTACGTAGCAGAGAAGCAGGGAATCTAAACATTAAATCGTGTAAATTTGTAAATATCCTGCTTTGGAATATATTATTAAATTATATAAAAACTGTGATTTGTTGAGAGAAAATGATCTCAGATTTGAAATTAATCGAAAATATGAAAAATCAAAGTCATTCGAACATCTCATGCAACTAAAGAAATTTTTTCTCTAGCGTTATTCATAAATTTGTAACTTTTAAATATTTAAAGAAAAAACTATGTTTTATATATATA